GATAAATTTAAATATTTACAATATATTTTTGTGAATCCATTTATTTCTGTAAAGCTGCTTTGTGACAATGTCCATTGTTAAAAGCGCTATACAAATAAAATTGAATTGAATTGAATTGAATTTTAACTCTTTTAATCTCTACATGTTTTTGTTAATAAACCTTTCTGTGTGATGAGCATAAATATTTCATTCTTAACACTTTCTTATAGTTAGACCGTTTTTTTTTTTTTGATAGGATGTGTTTAATGAAGCTGGAAGACCGAACTGCATCTTATGCTCCCCCTCGCTAACGGGTCACAAACATTTAAACATTTACTTTTTTGTGTGATGGACGTCAGTGAATCACCTCTGTAATTTCTCTCCATACTTTGGCCTTTTCTGGTGATGTGACTCTGCTGGATACATTATTAAATAATATTTTTTATTCTCTTAGACATGAGTCAAAAATATTTCAACTTCTGGCTCAGAGAAATTCTTTTTTTTTTTTTTTTTTTGGCTGATTAGTAGCCATTTTGGCCTTTCGCCTCTCACCTCTCTACTATGGGTGGCAGGTCAATCAGCGTAGTTGCACCCAAGATCTGGAATTCACTCCCTCTGATTCTTCACAGCATCACTTCTGTCTCTGAGTTCAAATCGTAATTTAAAACTTATTTGTTTTCTCAGTGTTATCTGTCTTAATGTGTTGCTATGTATGATGCCCTGTACTATTTGAACTGTATTTTTCATTTCTATATGTTTGTCCATGACTGTTCATTGTTTATGTATCATTGTATTACTACTGTAAAGTGTCCTTGAGCTCTGGAAAGGTGCTTTATAAATTAAACATATTATTATTATAAATGAAAAATAAACATTCACTTATAAAAAGCTTTCTTTGTTAAATTATACTTTTAAAAATCTGTTAATTAGTGTACCCTATGAATTAGCTGTTACAATAAAAACAATAAAGTATTAGAACAAGCAAATTAATATAAGCTTGTGATTTGCCTTAGAGCTGGAATGACTATCGGTGCTGCTGTCATAGAAAATTAATCAACACCCTTATTAAGAATTTTAGGTTAGTGCATAATCAGTAATTTTCTATGACAGCAGCAATGATAGGCATTCTGTTATGTCCATTGTCAAAAAAAAAAATAGGAGAGCTTCCACAAAGAGGTGTTGTCACCAAGGGTAATTAAGGGTTGGGTCGAATCTCAGCATAGTATTTGACCACCTGTGAGAAACGCACCACTTTCATGTAGCTGGGTTTCCATTTTCTGTCATCCCACAGGTATTCGGGTGAGAGCACCTTGGTGGGTTTGTTGTACAGGAAGTACTTGTTCAGGTGAGACTCTTCCTGCCATACCGCTTCGATTTGATTTGCTCGGTCCACTTCCAGCTGCATGCGGCACGTCTTCGCCAGCTTGTGCACTTTGTCGAGGTGCCCTCCGATCACGGCCCCTCCGTAGTAGTAGTCTCCTTCTTCTAAAGGTATGAAGGCCTGAGATTCAGGACGCCGCTCATATGGGAAACCTTTTCGAGATGTTCTGAAATACCAGGCATGCAGCACGCCAACAAGATCGCCCAGAGACTCTGCCCCCCAGTGACCATAGAATTTGGAGTCGATGTCGAGGCTGAATATGTAGTCTGCCTTGTTGGTGAGTTCCTCTTCAATGAGCTTCTCAATCATCTCCATCCTGCGTAGTGAGATTTCCTGCCAGCGGTTTGAGCTTGCTGTTTTTATCACGGTCAACTGACGCCCCTCCCCCAGTGTTACCACGGGAACTTTGTCCGGGCGATCTGTAAACAGGTAATAATGCACTCGGTAGCCCACCATGAAGTGCTGCTCCGCCGACTCTAGGAAGTCCTTCAGGAAACGCACATACCTGCAGGAAAATTGATCATTTGATTCAGTTTGTTAATGATGGAGCAGATTAACCTCTGAACTTACTGACTGACAAACTGATAACTGAGTCATGCTGGAAACAGATAAATATATGGAGCAATGGAGAAACAAATGACCACTAATATATAAGTGAGAAACAAAGGTTTAGTCATCAGTTCTGTTCAGTATGGTCTCGCAGTTACAAATTCATAACAACTTGCATTAATCAAATCGTATGGAAAGTTTCAAAGACTACAGTTAGGGTTAGACATGGGGTTAGCATTCATATCTGTTTCTTACTGTGTAACTCACACAACTTCAGTCACACTGGGTTTGGCATAGAATAAAAATTTCAAGAATTATTGGATAGTGCG